GCCTCAGATTGAAGGAGTAGCCATCATTTGTGGTACAAGCCAATCAAAACCCTTTTACAATCGGTAAAGAGTTCCCAAAGACACAGAACAGCAACAGACCTACCACTGGAAAAAATGGAGTAGAATACTGAATGAAGATAGGAAATCACCAGGGCAATGAAAAGAAGGTCCAGATATTGGACCTTGCAAGTAACCAAAAAACGAAACCAAACTCACTGCCATCGAGTTGGATGCCAAATTTTTTTTTGGGGGGGGGCGGTAAAAAAGTGTGGTGCACTATAAATCACAGACAAATATCCTTCACAAATAAAGAGAAGTTAATATAAGAGAGGCATACACACTTGGTGAATACGGGTTTAGTACTCAGCATCTATTCTTTTGCTTTCCCAGTTAAAAGAACTTTAAAATGATCATTTGGAAAATTACCCCCTTTTGTAGTTTGTGAAAGAAAGGAGCTCTGGTGGTGTAGTGGTTACAGAATTCAGCTACCAACCAAAATGTCAGTGGTTCGAACCCAACAGCTTCTCCACAGGAGAAGAATGAGGCAGTCGGCTTCTGTAAAGATTTACAGCCTCAGAAATCCTATGGGGCAGTTCTGCTCTGTCCTATAGGGTCACTATGAGTTAGGATCAACTCAGTGGCAACAGGCTTATAGTTTGTATGGTTTTGAGCTCATCAGCAGCACTTGTTCTAGATATCGGTCAACACAAATGAGTCAGTGAATCCATTTCCCTAGACACGATGACTAAGACAGAGGTTCTGTAAAGGGCCAAATACCAGATACAAATCTTAAGTTCTGTCAGTCATACAGTCAGCCACAGCTACTCAACCCTGCTATTGTGGTGTGAAAACAGCCATAACCAATACATAAACAAATGAGCCCAACTGCCTTTCAGTAAAACTGTATTTATAGACACTGAAACTTAATTTCATACAATTTTCATGTGTCTCAAAATATTCTTTTGATTTTTTTTCAATCATGAAAAAGTATTAGCTTGTGGGCCACACAGAGTTAGGCAGCAGGTCAAATTTGCTCCACAGGCTATAGTTTGCTGACTCCTGGGCTGAGATGGGCTCCTAACCTAAGACACATCAATGAAGAGGACCTGAAGATCTTTCCTCAAGATACAAGGATACAGATTTTCTCTAGTGGAAATAAGTAATGATCCACATTGCACTGGAAGCTTCTGGAAGTTATCCTATCATTAGAGTAACTAGTTATGGATAAAGCTCTCAAATTGGAGTTGTTGTTGTTGTTGTTATGTGCCGTCAGGTAGGACCCGACACATAGCGACCCCTCCTTGGATTTCCGAGGCAGTATCACTACGGAAGTAGATTGCCCCATCTTCCTTCCACTCAAATTGGAGGGAGATCAGAAGTTTGGAAAGCAACATAGTTTATGATAATACTTAAGGACCACAGGGTCAAGTTTTGCTTGAAATCAATTCTATCTCTCAAAGTGTCACTTATGCTAGCTAATAAGTTCTCTTTACTATTTAAACCAGAATAAGTCAGAATTGACACAGACTTCAGGGATACAAGTAATCTGTTAAACCCATTGCCACAGAGTCAATTCCGATTCATAGTAATCTAAAGGACAGAGCAGAACTGCCACATAGCGTTTCCCAGGCAGTAATCTTTATGGGCGTGGATCTGTCACCACGTCTGTCCTCCTGAAAAGCACTGGTGGATTCAAACCACCAAACTTTCAGTTTACCACTGAGATCTTTAACCACTGTGCAACCAGGACTCCTTTTGCAAGTAACAAAATAACCAAACCAAACTCACTGCCATCAAGTCGAATCCAACTCATACCGACCCCTCCTTGGGTTTCCGAGGCGGTATCACTACAGAAGTAGATTGATTGCTCAACCTTCCTTCCGAGGAGTGGCTGGTGGGTTTGAATCACCAGCCCTCTGGTTAGCAGTCAAATGCCTTAGTCACTACGCCACCAGAGTTCCCTTGCAAGTAACAGACACCCCAAAATGGAATTGGCTGAGGATACAATCTAAGGTCAAAGCCAGTGAGGACACCTCTAGCTAGCACAACTGGTTACCCTCATGGCCTGTTATCTATTTTTTTGCCTACCCAGGTTGCATCAAAAAGGAAAATTCAAGGTGTTAGAGACTGATTACTTCTTGCATCAAGGAAGATAGCAGAGAAGAAAATTTTTTTTTTTTTTTTTAAAGGATTTTCTTAAGAAAGATCATTCTGCTTGCTGCCTGTAAACCAAGCTGATAAGAACCTAGTAATCTGAAGCTTGCAAGGCTGGAAAAGCAGAATTCTTCACTCCAATCTAAAACAGTGTAAGCAGAAATGGGAAGGGGAAGACTAGGCAGGACACAGAAGTGGAGCCCAGAAGCAGCCTGATCCTGCCGCCTCCTCAGCCTCCTCCTACTAACATTTATCTTGTCAACATAGTTAATATTGCGTTTTCTGTGAAGGAGCAGTTGGAATGCAGTCAGAAGCCAGGGAGCTAATGATGATGACCTCCACACCTGAGGCACTGTTTTACCAGCAGAGGGCGATGTGGTGCTAGAAGGCAATAAAATGGTGAGGGGTGAGCTGGGGAAGGGGATGAGCACAGCTAGCAGTGCTGAAAGACCCACGCTCTCAAACACAGTTCTTGAAGCAACACTATGATTTGATAGATTTTCTATTTCTGATTAACCACCTGTGATGGTTAGTTCTATGTGTCAACTAGGCTAGGCCAGTTACTTAGTCAAACACTAACCTAAGTGTTGCTGTGCAGGTATCCTGTAGATGTGATTAATATCTGCAATCAGTTGACTTTAAGTAAAGGAGTTTACCCTTGATAATGTGGATGGGCCTTCTCCAATCAGTCTAAGGCCTTATAAGCAAAAACTCAGGTTTCCCAGATAGAAAGAAATTCTGCTCAAGACTGGAGCATCAACCCCTGCTTGAGTTTCCAGCCTGTCAGCCTGCACTGTGGATTTCAGGATCTCAGGTTTGCCAGGCCCCACAATTACATGAGCCAATTCCTTGAAATAAATACTTATTACACACATATATATCTCCTGTAAGGAGCTCTGGTAGCATAGTGCCTAAGGCACTGGACTGCTAACCAGAAGGCTGGCAGTTCAAACCCACCAGCCACTCCTCGGAAGGAAGGTTGGGCATTCCTACTTCCGTAGTGATACTGCCTCGGAAACCCAAGGAGGAGTCGCTATGAGTCGGGGCCGACTCGATGGCAAATAACAACAACAACAACATATATCTCCTGTAAGTGTATTCGTGTGTGTATATAAACAATATATACAGACACATATACATAAGCAATATATATATTGGGTGTAACAGAATACCATTTAGGGAAGTTGACCAAAAACAAATAGGTTAGAGGCCTTCAAAACCAGGAAGGAAGCTGTCTTTCCTCTGAAACCCCAAGATTGGCCAAAAGCAGCTGAAGACTGAACCTCAACAGTGGTTCTCAAATTTGGCTACATATTAACACCACCTGGGGAGTTTTAACATTAAATGCCCAGCTACTGCTTAAACCAATTAAATTAGTAACTTCAGAGGTATGGTCCCACCACTGGAACTTTTAAAAACTCCCTGAGTGATTCTAATGTGAATTCAAGGTTGAGAAGCAGTGCTGTACACTTAAGCCAGTCCTTAGGCACCCACCCTCAACAAGAAATATATAGCCTTTATAAAAGGTATTCACCCCAGGCAGGGTTAGCAGATAAAATATAGACAGCTAGTCAAATTTGAATTTCACATAAACAATGAACAATTTGGTGTGTGTGTCTGAAATACTTCATCAGACATACTTATACAAAAAGAAAAAGAAAAATCAATTCTGTATTTTTATTTGCTAACTCTGGCCACCCTAGCCCACAAGCCCCGCCTCAGCTATAGCCATGGAGAACATTTTCCCAGAAGGCAGAGTTGAGAACAACAGAGAAGCTGCCCAAGGTTCTCAATTAAATACCAAGCAGGGCTCCCTTGCTAGACTGTGGGCAGGGTTTGCTAAACCTTAACTAATATAAGCACTTAACACCTCACCTAGCACCTTCTAAGCCTCAACAAATGTTGACCATCACTCTGAGGCAAGCTTCGTTTATGCAAGTGAACTTACGCTTATCAATGACACCATAGTATGCTTCATCTGGGTATTCGTTTCAATCGAAATTTTTCCTAGAGTGAATTAATTATAATTTGTTTATAAAATAACATGTCATTTTCAACTTTCCAAGAAAGTATGTCTAAGAAAAAGTTTGGTATCAGTGTAGTCGCATTCAATCTTTTTCTTCTGATTTCTGTCCTTTTCCATTTTCCTTACTTATTCCCCAGTATTCCTCTCAACCCATGATTCTGATTAGATGGGAAAACAAAATCAATAGATTCATTACCAGAAAAATGCTAGTTTGCCTTGTATGAAAGTTCTTTCAATATTTCAAAACATGGTGCTGGGCAGAACCATTCAATAAGCATTTGGTGTTTGATATTATTTGGTACAGGAGCTCTGGTAGCATAGTGGCTAAAGCACTTGACTGCTAACCAGAAGGCTGGTGGTTCAAACCCACCAGCCACTCCTCGGAAGGAAGGTTGGGCAATCCTACTTCCATAGTGATACTGCTTCGGAAACCCAAGGAGGGGTCACTATGAGTCGGGGCCTACTCAACGGCACATAACAACAACAACATTATTTGGTAAAATTTTTGCCAAGAGTAAGTGAATCATACTCATTGGCCCTCACATTGAATGTGAGAAGATTGAAGGGGAAGACGGAGGAATAATGAAGAGGGTGTCAAGAGATGCCAAAGGGAACATTTATTCCATAACACGATTCAACAGTGAAAATAAACTACAGAAATTAAATAAGACACATAAACTAAAATTAAAGTCCCAGAGTGTGGCCAGGGAGAGGTAGCAGCCCACAGCAGAGATGGCTTCCACAGTTGCAGGGTCATTGTCCTAGCTCAGAGCTCTGCTCCCCAATCTGCTATCAGACATTACACCTTTCTTGCTTCCACTCAGGCATTCAGCTCCAGGTCGGTGACATATTCTTGGACCCAAGCGTCGTTGGGGTTGGCACAGACCTGCCGGCCCCTTTTGGTTATGAAGCTGTGGGGAGGGGGGGAAGGATTAAACACTGTAGCCTCTCCGTCATTCTCTGACCCAGGCACTCAGGGCCTGTCCACATGCTCATAAAATTTCTCCTTAACCACAAGATTCTTGGGCCTTCCCTGAATGTCTCATATATGAGTCCCTTGAGAAAGCCAACTTCCTGCTATCACTTCCCCTCCTTTCTTCCTCATCGCCAGGAGGAGATCCTCCATGACCCTGTGTAGGGCCCAGACCAGATCAGAAGACACTGCAGGATCTCTCCTGGCTGTTCAGCACCCTGATTGGCCTCAAAGAGCTGAGCATTCTGGAAGCTGCTCTCCACCTCAAGCCCTCCCTGTGTCTCCCCAGCAATGGGCAGGAGGACCGGCCCTTACATGACAGCAGGCTTGGAGCACTGGCTGCTGGTCTCATAATAGTCGTCCACAATTTTGTACTGAATCTGCCAGGAAGTGTAGGAGAAGCAGCAGGCAGTCGGGGTGTTGGCACCAACTGTAGAGAAAGGGACAGAATGAGCCTGAGTCACTGTGAGAAACAGGATAGCAAGACCCCGATTTATTGTTCAGAAGAAAAGGTAAGGTGGCTCCTCCTAGTCCCTTCCCTTGAGGGCTGCAGGAACGGCTCAAGAATGTAGGGACAAAGGGATCCAAAAGACAGTGGGCATTTCCTCTGTTTCTTGACATTTTTATTTCTAAATTTTATTCTCTTGTGATGTTTCTCATTTGCATCTATCTTGGTTTTGGGTCTCCTTCTACAGGGAATTAAGTTCCTGAACAAACTACTTGTTCTATTTCCCTTTGGGGAGTTTCATCTAAAATTCATGAGGATAGCAAAGGTGAGTCTATCATTGATCACATCACTGGGAACCAATTGCACTCAGATTCCATATTTTGTTAAAATCTTAGTTCGGCTCCATTTTCCCATCTTTATGATGGGACTTAGCCCCACCTTGCCTCCCAGAGCTGGAGAATGTTGTTGTTTGCCGTCGAGTCAAACCCGACTCATAGCGACCCCTCCTTGGGTTTCCGAGGCAGTATCACTACGGAAGTAGGATTGCCCAACCTTCCTTCCGAGGAGTGGCTGGTGGGTTTGAACCGCCAGCCGTCTGGTTAGCAGGCAAGTGTCTTAGCCACTATGCTACCAGAGCTCCCAGAGCTGGAGAATAGGATTGCTAAAATAAAACCCCTTGAGAAGGAAAATTTTGCTCAGGGAAGTCCCTGAAATTCCTGTGAAATCTACTTGGAGGGCCTCAAGCCACAGACTTTGGCACTGTGTCTAAGGCGTAGACAAAGAGTGGAGGACAAGAGCAGTAAGAAGACAGATGAGAGGACACACTCACATGAGGCAGAGTAGGTCTGGGAACAGAAGGCTGTGGTGAGGAGAAGGACAGCAAGGGCAGTCCCTCTGATATCCATGATGCTGGGCAGGTAGAGTGGAGCTCACGCAGTGGCCAAATAGAGTTAGGACCTGGAGACTTGCAGCTGCTGGCTCCTGCTGGGAGTCTAAGCCATCTCTCCTCTTTATAGTCATTCTTGGGGCATTAGGAGATGGAAATTTGGGGAGACCAGAGGGGGAAATTTGGGTAGACCAGAGAGGAAAATTTTAAACATGGTGTTGGTGTCATGCTGAGTTGTTTATGCCAGGAGAGCTTTGGGTCACCGCAAAAGTTCAGGTTCTTTGCGAGAATAGTTCAATTGCTCACTTGATGGGGAAATGGTTCCACAGAGAGAGGTGGTGAGACGTTGGTGTCACCCTGAGACCACTTAGCTGGTTCCTTCTCACAAGAACAGATCAGTTGATAAAACATTTCTCCCACAGAGCTGAACCTTCTGATTTTATCCCCAGTTGTTCCAGTGACATAGATGGGACACTGATGATAATTCCCTGAAGTTTTGAGAAACACAACTGAAGGTAAAACCATACTCTAGATGAAAGGAGTAGAATTGTGGGAGCCTCAACTACCAGAAGGGCAAGGTTATGGTTGGCCTTTTAGACAGTGGCTCATTCCTCAGACATTCATTGATTCCTGGGTTAGCCCAGCTAAGAAATCTGAAAATGAAGGCTAACATGAATGAAGAGTCTTAAAATATCCTTACCCCTCAACCAGCAAAGCACTCTGCCAGAGCTCTGACCTATATATAAACACATGCGTGAAGTTGTATGGACAAAGGTATTTGTCACAGCTTATTCATGACAATTAAAAGATGACCTACAACTAAATACATGACAGTACATTCACCTCTTACAATAATAATTGTTGTTGTTGTTGTTGTTATGTGCTGTCGAGTTGGACCCGACTCATGGCGACCCCTCCTTGGGTTTTCAAGGCAGTATCACTACAGAAAAAAAATCCCATTTTTCTGAAGATTCAGTGTTAACAGTTGGAACACTTACTGCTTTCTTATCATCAAGTCCAGAGATGAGTGTTCCCAGGATTTGTCTGGCAGCTCAGTGATGCCATCAAAGCCTCAGACTTCTTAAAATATCTCCTCTGTTTCCCCACCATTTTGCTGATTTTTCTTCTTTGGCTTTTTGACCTCGTGGTGGTAAGATGGCTGTTGCGGCCCAACCACCACATCTTCCCGGGGTCTCATCTCAAGGCAGGAAGACCCCTCACAGGACAAGGAGTAATGTCGTTGGTGTTTTGAATTCAAATTATTTTTCACGTGATTTATAATATGTGCATAGATTGTCCCCAAAAGCAATAAAAGCTCATTTTAAGGATATGTAAAATACAGGCAAGAACAAAAACTGATTTAGTATCTGGAGGCTGGGTAGGGAAGCAGGGCAGATACAGGGAAGGCTTTGTGGGGTTTCCCTCTACACCCTTACCATCTGTTGTTGTTGTTGTTACGTGCTGTGGAGTCGGATCCAACTCATAGAGACCGCTCCTTAGGTTTCCAAGATGGTATCACTGTGGAAGCAGATTGCCCAACCTTCCTTCTGAGGAGTGGCTGGTGGGTTTGAACCGCTAGCCTTCTGGTTAGTAGTCAAGTGCCTCAGGCACTATGCTACCAGAGCTCCTAACATCTGTTTTAACATATATGAATTCTGAGGCATTAACTGAGTACAATTTCTTTCCTTCAAGGCAGGAAAACTTCTATTTCCCAAATGTAACCACTATTAACATTTTGGGTTTATTTCTTTCAAGTGTACTTTTTTCTAGGTTTATGATTAAAAAAAAAAAAAAAAACCTATGCCATCAAGTCAACTCCAACTTCTAGTGACCCCCCTCCATTGGGTTTCCAAGGCTGTAAATCTTTATGGAAGTAGATTGCCTCATCTTTCTCCCGTGGAGCAGCTGGTGGGTTAGAACCTCTGGTCAGCAGCCCAATTTCTCACCCACTATGCCACCAGAGCTCCTTAGGCTTATGATAGTTCTGTTTATTTACTTACTTGCTTTTTTCCTTCTGTATGTTTGTGGTGGAGGGCACTTTGGTAGTCATGAAATAGATAAAATTTTGTATTTTTTTCCTTAATGCTTAACATTATAAGACTTTTCTAAGTCGTCCCAGTATTTTTAAAAGCTGCCTAATTTACTCAACTATCCCCCAATGCATTAATATAATCATGCACTATTGTAGTACATTTGAATTATTCCAATTTTCAATTGTTATCAATAAACTGGACCAAACATCTATATACACAAAATTTTCTCCATCAATGGAGTTATTTCCATAGGATATTTTTCTAGCTGTAGACACTCTGGGTCAAGAAGTAAAAACACTTCAGTCTCTTAATCCATATAGACACTCCATTATCTAATGCATGTTCATATCTATTACCTATCATCAGGCCCAGTGATGGCACATTGTAGGGACTTGTGAATGCATGACGAATAAACAGTGACTGTAAGGCTAACCTCATCACTCTTGTCATGCCTGTAGCTCAGGCTTCCCCTATTTCATTCTATCCGTTGGGGCCCAGGTTTCATGGCTTGTGCTACTCAGGATTCAGTGTCACCATCATGTATGTCACAATCTGTGCAGTCAAAACCTGTGAAAAACATTAGGAAGTTCTGCTCTGTGGGAGGGAAAATGTGATGATGCAGTTCATAGTTGATCTCTTCTTGATAGAAGGAATCAGCTAAGCTTGCCCTCTTGGTAACAGTATGGACTGAATTATGTCCCCAAAAAAGATGTGTTGAAGTCCTAACCCTGGTACCTGTGAATGTGACCCTGTTTGGAAATAAAGTCTTGGAAGATGTTGCCAGTTAATTTAACAAGAGATCTTACTGGAGCAGGGGGTTCCTAATCCAATCAATCAGTGGTGTCCTTATCAGAGAAGACACACAGAGGGAAGACGACCACATGACAACAGAGGCAGAGGTTTGACTGACACAGAAACTAGGAGAGAGGCAAAGAACAGAGTCTTCATCACAGCCCCCAGAAGGAAGCAACACTGCTGAAAACTTGATTTTGAATTTCTAGTCTCTAGGACCATAAGACAACACATTTCTGATGTTTTAAACCACCCAGCTTGTGGTGCTTTGCTATGGAAACCAATACAGTGACACCATCTCCTGGCTTCCCCCTCATTGGTTATCACTTCCTCAGAAGAACCCTGAGCAATGTGATGTCATGGTCCTTCTCACCCAGGGTATGGCCTAAGAGTGACTTGTGCTGTCAGAATGCCATGACTTCACCCTATGTGGTCAGAACTGCTGCAGTAGCGCACCAGAAGTTCTGCTGTGTAGGAGGAATCAGTCTATACATCTGTCCACGTGCCTACTGATTTAACACTAACATCTCATCTCTTCCTTTCACTGTGGAAAACATTTCCACACAATCAACCCCAACGAGTGAGCAACTGAGCTGTTCTCATACATTCTAAATCTGTGTGTGACCCAAGAAACCCAGAATATGCAACTCATAGCATGACACAGCTACACTAGAAACATCTCCTTTAGTCATGTCCAGCCTCGAGCTCCTCATTGTCCAACTACCTATAAAAGGGTGGGAGTGGGGGTGTGGCTTGATCCCAGATGGATGCATGCAGCAGTGAGTGCCCAGCACTGTCTTGGCTTTGCCCACACTCCTCTGCCTGCCCACTCTAACAAGTTCATGGGATGATAAGTGAGGCATGATGCCAAAAAGAGGAGTCAAGAAGGCCATGAAAAATAACTAAGTTTATTATACTAGCAGTTCCCAGAGACAGGCAGGCACAGTATGCCTTGATGCAGGACCACACAGGCAGTTGCACTAGAGACAAGGTAACAATAAGCTGGAATTCTGGGAGAGGGTCTACTTATGGAAAGCAGGGTGGCATTAGCTAGGTGCCATGAGCTTCCTGAGGACTGGGCATTTTGAATAATTCTTCAGGCTCAGATTGCATAGGGACCATCCCCTCATTGTTGGATACATGGCCCTGGGGTCATTAGAATGGGTACATAGTGGCCCAGGAGTGAGAACCTGATAAGGGGAGTAGTTGCAGAGTGATCTTAATCAACTGCTCAAAGATAACGGACCAGCCTCTAGCCAGGACCTCAAAATTGGGCCAAGATAATATTTTTAAAACATGATATTGCACTGCCCAGCATTGTAGACGTCTCCATGGCTACCCTGGCTAACTGTGTCTTCACCATGGCCCTCAGCTCACAGGTCTCCTCTGTACCATGCAATGCCCTCAACTCTGGTCTTTTCCTCATTTGAGAATTGTTCCTCACTCTTTGACCAGGGTCTCAATAGATGGATCTTGATCAAAAGGGGTAAAAATATGGGATGGAAATTCAAATGCTTATGCAATCCAACAGCTAAATAATAGTATAAAATATAATAAAACATAAAATAAGCATAAAACAAATAACAAGCATAAAATAAACAATATCACATGTGAGTCCTGTGCTCCTTTTAAAAAGTCATCTATATGAGACCAAATGGTCAACATTCACCCTAAAACAACGATAAGGAGGTAAGTGGGGAGCAGAGACTAGATTAATGGAAATGGAACAACCAGAACAGAAATAGTGGAAATAGTGAAAATGTTGACACATTGTGAAAAATATAACCAATGTCACAGAACAATTGTATAGAAATTGTTAAATGGGAACCTAATTTATTGTGTAAACTTTCACCAAAAGCACAATTAAATAAAAATTAAAAAAATCCTTATGGAATCTAGACTTATTGGCTCTACTGAGACTAGAAGAACCCTTGGATCTAACGCCTTCAGATAATCAAACTTTGAACCAAAATTATCCCCTCAAAAACCAAACAATAGTTTAGCTCAATTAGTAAAGAAAGTTTATGTTGCATATAGCCCCTTTTAAAAGAATTACCTATAGCAGATCAAACTGACAACAGTAACTCTAAAGCACAGATGAGCAGTTTGTTGTTGTTGTTGTTATTTGCCGTCGAGTCGGCCCCGACTCATAGCGACCCCTCCTTGGGTTTC